CCGGGCAGCGCCTCCTTGGCGCGGTGCAGCAGGCGCTCCTCGCGGCTCCGCAGGCGCTGCTCCCTGCGCTCCAGCTGCCGCTTGTACTGGTAGCGCTGCTGGAACAGGTCCTTGGCGTAGTCGTAGAGCTGCATGTCCAGATCGTTGAGCTCCTCGATGCGCCGGATGGTGTCCTCGTCCACCTCCACGCCGCCCGCCCGCGTGCTGTTGTACTGCATGAAGGGCCGGATGAACTTGAGGTTGAACGTCCGCTCGAACAGGTACTGCGTCTTGCGCTGGAACTCGGTCAGGCCGAAGAAGGCCATGCCTCGCAGGTTCTTCTTGGCGCTGTCCAGCAGCAGCTGCGCCCGCTTGCCCTCGGGGATGAAGGACAGGTTGTAGCAGCCCACCAGGCTCAGGTCGGCCAGCATGCGCACCTGGCGGTTGTTGGCTAGGTTGTAGGGGCAGTCCATGAACTCCTGCAGCGTGCAGCCCGACCAGTCGGTGCCCTCATAGCAGGGCGGCAGCTCCTCGGGGGTGGGCGTGCGGCCGTCGCACATGTGCAGCGAGGTCTTCCACGTGGCTCCGCGCTGCACGTGCCGCCACTCGCTCAGGTAGCGGGACACGGGGTCTCGCAGGAGGGTGATGTAGTAGAACTTCCTGCAACGACAGGGGAGGGGCGGGGGGGTGAGGGATGGTGGGGCCCGAGCGGGGCTCCCACTGTGGCGCGTCCACCGCGGACCCGGCTCCTACACTGGCCATTTCCGACGAGAACCAGGGCTGGAGATAGGTCCCTGGACAGTGCCCTGCAGTGCCAGCCTCCTTACGGGAGGGACAGCCCTGCTAGGCCACTATGGCAGGGGGCTCTGTCCCCTTCCCTGGGCAGGGCTGCCAGTGAGCAGGATCTCAGGGAAGGAGCCCTGTGGGTTTCAGGCAGGGCCCCTCGGGAGGGTGAGGGGCCAGTTTCTGGGTCAGGTGGGGCTGCTCCGTGGCTTGTTAGTTACTGGTGCACCACTGGTCCGACCATCCGGGTGACCTGGGTGTCTGGCTTCATCTTCCAGAGGCCTTGGGATGCAAACAGCTCCTATGGGCTCCCTTCACTGCTGCCAACCGGACACAGCAGCCAGGGGCACGGCCAGCGCCTTGCCCGGAGAGTGCACTCTTTCGGGGACAGTGCTGAACTGTGATCCTGGCTCTCACTGTGCCACATTACACCGACCTCCAGCACCGGCGTGCCTGCTCTGGGACAGCTCAGGGCTCCCAGCAGCCAGCTCTTTCTTAGCCAAAGGGCCTCTGGCCACTAACTGCCATCCAGCCAGTGCCCTGCTGTCTTCCAATAGCAATGGACAGGGCGTGGGGCCCTCATCTGTGTGGCCACGATGAGCTGGCCCAGGACCTGTGTCCACCTCTCGTGTCCAGAGCATCGGGAGCTCTGGTGTGTACTCCTAAAAACGAGGGACAATTCGTCGGGCACGGTGGTGCACGCCTGTAATCCTAGCACTCCGGAAGCTGAGGCAGGAGGATCCCTGTGAGTTCGAGACCAGCCTGGGCTACATAGTTCCAGGTCAGTCTCAATTACATAGTGAGGCCCTGTCTCAAAACAAACAAGCAAACTGTGGGACAGTTCATACTGCCCAGGGCCACAGAGCCCAGGGCCACCAGGGAGGAGAGACTGCTGGGCTTGTCTGATTCCTGTCAGAGGGCGGCTAACTGGAGGGGGACGCTTGTGCACGGCACTGTGCATCTAGCTGAAGGAGGCCATGGGCCCACACGGCTGGGCGGCTCGAGAATGTCACCTGGGAACTGGGGGAGACAGCACAGTGGAGCAGTGGCCCTGCCCTGGTGCGCAGGCGGCTTGTGGGAACGCAGGCCCCTAGCTACACACTGCTTGTAAAGGGCATCTGGCTGCGATGCCCCACCGTAGCAGCCACAGAGCCGGGGGCAGCCCGGATACCAGGCTCAGAAGAAGACACCGACAGGGTCTCCATTACCAGTTCTAAGTGTTCCAGACTGCGGGGGGTGGGACCATCAGGGCAGGGGGACAGTGCTGCTGCGAGGGACACCATTTCTGAACGTACAGTAGGGACAGGGCCCTGGGGGCCCAGGCTTGACTCAAGTTGGGGTTAGTGGCTCAGGCAAGGCCAGACCAAGGAGGGTCTTGCCTGTTTCACAGAAAAACAAGCTCAGATGCGTAATGGCCGCAGTGTAAAATTCACATGATTTCAGATTAAAGCCCAAGATCTCCAAGAACGTCTGCCCTGTGAAATAATTCTAGTGCTCCCAGACCACAGTTTTCCTGACAGACAACAGGATTTATCGCCCGGATCCCCCCAAGCTGGCATTTAATCGTGGCTGGTTTAATGCTCCCTGTGACATTCAGGGGTTCTGACATTTCTGTGGGCATTGGTTTAGTGTGCCCACTCCCACGCAGGAGGCTGGTGGGCAAGGAGGGCATTTTCTTCTTGGGTTTGTCAGCTGAAATTACGGGGGGCTTTGCTTTGGACAAGGCTCCTGCATGGGCTCATCTGTGAGTCAAAATGGAGTCATTCACGCTAAAGCCCCTGCCATATCCAAAGGAAGCTGAAATCTGACAGTCAGGAGAATACCAAGAAAGAAACAACTAAACGTCCCAGACACAGCAGTTCCAGTCAGCATGCTAATGGTGCTTTCGCTAGCTAAGCACTTGTTTTCCTATTGGTCCATCTCCCGGTCCCCGCCTTACAAGGAAAGCACCTACTGCGAGGGACCACACACTACTTCTTTCTCTCTTCAGCCTCTGCTTTCTATAAAACCAATCCTCAGCTCAGATCCCTGGGACCTGCACCCTTCTTATGGAATGAAATGTGACCCCACTCCAGAATCATAAATAACCCAATGAGACGTTTTAGTAAGCGGCAGGTCCTCGTCCAGGGAAGTTTCACACACTGCTGCTAGAGCAACTGTAAAATTCTGTGCTGCTTGTGTTTCTTTGCTGTGCTGGGGATAGAACACAGGCCCCTGTGCTCTGCAGCAAGAGCCCCACGGAGCCGACCCCAGCCCCCGGAGTGTGCGTTCCTACAGGGTAAGTGCAGTGCAGTTAGGAGGGTGGGTGGCGGCCCTGTGGGTTCTGTGCCCTGCCCCCTTCCAAGGGCACAGGCAAGCTGGGGCCCACTGCAGTATCAGACTCCAGGGATGGGCTCGGAGTGGGCAAGCGAGGATCCAAGGCCAGAGCGGTCCTACAGTTAAATCACAAGGGCTGGGTGAGGAGGGAGGGGCAGAGGCCGCATGCTGGAAAGCCGCCTTAAATCTTAGCATGTGGACTGCCAGCCACCATCTGGATTCTTAACCCCCATCAACCCAGATGGACAAGTGCTTCTCCCTTCAGAATGTTGTGCCCTAACCTTTCCTGTCTAGCACAGTGCCATCCTTCTTCTCTACAGCCACAGGACCAGTGTTAAGGATTTATGTTTTCTTCTCCCAATTTTCACGTATGTGTTTGTATATATATTGTTTTCTTTCTTTACAATCTCACTATGTAGCCCAGGCTGCTCTTGAACTTGCAGCGACCCTCCTACCCCAGCTCCCAAGGGCTGGGATTACAGGTGTGCACCATCACATCTGCCCCTAAAATAATGCTTTTAGCTTTTCCCTGGCAACTGTGGGAGCCTGTCCCAGGACCTGGTCCTTTTCTGGCTGGCCTTCCTGACTGCTCAATAGCCCCTTTTGTTTCAGAGACCATTTTTTTGTCTCAAGAGTTTTAGTTTAACACAAGGCAGTGCAGACCCACCCTCAGGCCCCAGCACCACTTCCTTTTTCCTTTCTCTGCTTGACAGTACTGGTTTGATCCAAATTCGTGCTCAAATCTACCCACTACTGACTCTCATTTCTGGATGTCCAGGACTTCAAGGCCAGCCTGGGAAACAGGGAAACTTTGCTTCTAAAGCAAAGGAAAAAAAAAAAAAATGCAGGCATGGGCATGGTGGTACACGTCTGTAATCTCAGCACTCTAGGAGGCTGAGGCAGGAGGATCACAAACTACAACCCAGCCCAGGCAACTGAAGTGACTTAGTAAAGCCATTTCAAAATGAAAAAAAAAAAAAAGGGCTGGGGTTGTACTTGAGTGTGAAGGCCCTGGGTTCAAGCTCCAGTACTAAAAAAGAAACAAACAAATCTGGCTCCTGGACCAGGAGATGTCTAGACTCTTGTGGCCTGGCGAGAGGCTGGTCCACTAATCCCACCTCCACGGGGAGAAGGGCATCAGGGGAAAAAGGAACATGGTGGTCGGTCTGCAGCCCACTGGGTGTGATCACCAGGGTCACAGTTTTGTAAACATTACACACATTCAGAAGACGCACCACCTAGGATGGCAAAAGACTACTCAATGGCTATCTCAGGACAGTGAAATTAGTGCCATCTGTCCCCCTAGCATTTTATAGAAAAACTTCAGAATTACAGAAAAGTTGGAAGTTTAGTGAAAAAACCCATAAGCTCCAAATGAGATTTTGATATTTTTACATATTCCAGTGCTGCCTGCAATTATATACTATAGCTTGAGCATCCCTGATCTGAAAGTCTGAAATGATCTAGAAATTAAACCTTCCTGAACACTGACAAGACATGCAGGAAAATTCTACATCTGACTTTATGTGATAGCTCACAGTCAAAACGCAGGTACCCTAAAGACCGCACAATCACCTCCAACCTAGGCACATAAAGTGTATACGAAACATAAATGCATTTGTGTTTAACTTGGGTCCCCTCCCCAAGTTATTTCATAATATCCACACAAATGCTCCAAAGCCTGAAATCCAAAGCACTTCCAGTCTCCAGCATTTTGAGTAAGGATCAGTCTGTACACAAATAATTAGCATAGTGTCATGACTGCAAAAATGGCCCTGTTGTCCAGGACAGGTTTTGGGGTGCAAAGGGGCCTGGAAAGGGTGGCTCTGCCAACATCAGTCCTTTGTGAGGTTGCAAGGTTCTAGCAGGCTGCACCTCCCATCGTGGGACTGATGGGGGCCTTTCCCAGCGGTCTGACCCACCAGATCCAAATGGGGACCTTAGCACAGCTGGGCTGTGAGCAGCTCGGCAGAGGTGCGGCTCCCCACTGGGCACAAGGGCCCTGCTGTCCAGTGAGATGATGCGGCGGGCAGCTTTTCAAAGCAATGCTCTTGTGACACAGGCGAGGCCGTGCTGGCCTCGATGCAGCACCAGGAGGGCCACTGTGTTCTCCGCAGGTCGAAGAGTGCTGAGGTCCCTGTGGGGTTCTGCAGTGTCTTCCCCGTGAACTCCATTCTCTCAGGGCCCCAGGGCCCCTTCATGAGGACTTGTAAAGTCTGGATCCAGACAACTGCCTAAGTCTGAGAAGCCCAGAGGGTGGATGCAGGCAGCACGACTGGGGCACCCAGTCTGGCCTCTTTCCTGGGGCTCATGGGCACCAGAGAACAGGGCAAGGGCTCTCTGCCAGAAGTGATCGGATCCCACTGCCGCTTGGGTGGGAGCGGCATGGAGCTGGTGCCTCCTCTTCCTTCCTGTGGCAGCGCCAGCTGGTGAAGGTTCCCAGGGCTATGTCCCCTCCCCTCTGAGAGGCACAGCTGCGGCACGGAGGTAAGGGGCGAAGGACGGCCCGTGGAGGCAGGAGCCAGCACCCAAACGGGAGGGCAGAGAGGTCCCTGCTGGCC